ACAACTGAATTATGTAATTTTGTCACAAGATTGTCACAAAAAAACAAAATTCTTCCAGGCTGTAGAACACAGTTGGTTCTACATAGCAGAGTACAAAAATAAAGATGCCTTGGACAAAAACCACATGAGAAACAGGATATGATAAGGTCAGACTAAAGCTCTGAAGGGAGACTCCTGCTCTTTGGACAAGATGCTGGCAAAATACCAACACCTCTGCCCCTGAGATGAAGGTGATAAGTGCTGGCTTTGGGGGAGAAACTAATAACCTGGCTGTTAGGCAAGGAATGTGCACCAGAAGAGTAAAATAGACCCAGAGCCCAGAACAGTGCTGGGAAAGGTGAAGGCCAGAGAGAGATGGGAACAGCAGGGCGGGGCTTAGAGGGGAGAAGTAGTGGGGGCCTCCTGGCAGGGACCAGAGCAAGGCCAAAGGTTCAGGAGACAGGAAAAGGTACTTGTGGGCACAGAAAACCCAAGTAAACTTTTTTTACTAGATGAGAAGATGAATGCAGGGAAATAAGAATCCAAACAGAGAAGGTGGGAGAGGGGCAGCAAGGTAGGAGGCAGCCCCCGAATTCCGCCCGTATCAAAATATTCCATTCAAATGCATACACTGTGTAAACATACAAGACTGTTAGCAAGTACTGCTGGTGAAGGGGATGGAGCTTACTGTTTTTCAGTCCCACATCATCTGCTTTCTCTTGAATATCAGTCCTCCTGGTCGCCAGTGACTGAGCCCTCTGTCTAGGAGTAGGGATTCAAAGAGCTATTTCCTGTACTCTTCTCAACCTTTCTGTCCTAGAGTTAAAATTATGCAATAATCGCATACTATCCGGTGCTAAATGCCAGAGTTGAATTCTTATCTAGGGGTAAATGCTTAAAAATAATATATATGACCCTGATGCGTTTACTTACAAGAATTAGTTTTATATTTTAAAATATGCAAAGTAAACTGACTTTTTCCGTGTAAAACTAAAAAGATCAGTGAACTGTCTTATAAAACTACTGTAAAAAAATTGCACCCCTGTCTAAGCTCAAATAATGGGATCATTTACAGAAAATCTAGTAAAGTTAGTCAGAGATCAAATACCCCTGAACGTGAGTTATCTAAAGTTACTCTATGATCAGGACAGCCAGGCCAGGCCTCCAACCAGTACCGGGCCTTTCAGGAGGCGATGTGCTCATTTTGTGGTTTTGTGCTCTTCAACCGTCTTGCGAGCCTGGGTGGCTCTAGCTGGTCAGGGACTGACGGGTGACAGCATGCCGCCTGGCGAAGCAGAATTCAGCCTAGGAAAGTCTGCGCCTCCCAGAGATACATTGTCTGCTGCAATTTCACTGCTGTGGCTGTTCCCACCCTTCCAGGGACAGGACCAAGGACCCTGACTAGGCATATTTTCCAACTGATGAGCAATATTCTCCAGCTAATTTAATTTGTGATTCAGAAGGAAAAGGCAAAAAGGAAAAACTTTCTATACATTTACGTTTAATATCAAATGGAAGCAATCTGACGACATAATGTGCGGTGTCACGGTCACTTGTGTCCTTCTGGCCTATAATGTCTATGGGTCTCATACATATTTTTCTCAAGGGTCCTTGTCGAAGCACCCAGCTTGCACCTGGCCGCCTGACTCACGGTAGGCATGTAGTAACTGTTCTGCCATTTGAATAAAATAATAGTGGGGTGTTAAAAGAAGCTCAAGCTCCCAGGGAGGGAGCATCTCTAACTGAAGCTGGAAATCCACTACCCATATCCAGCAGCAGGGGGGATGCAGGCCCCAGGCAGTCATGTAGGCACTGACTAAAAGATGGAAACAGTGTCCTGAGAGCTGGCTAACCACAGGGACAGCTGGACTGTGGAGGGTCACAGAGGGAGAGAAGGCCTCATGGCTGGGAAGGGGTGTGACCACCAAGGGAGCAGGAAAGCTTGGAGGAGCACAACTGTCCCACAGAATGCCACTCCGCCGCCCTGCTCCTGGGGTACAGGTGGAACCACCAGCGCCCACCTCCCTGCCAATGCTGGGCAGAAAGACAGGAGCTCCCAGGGTCGTTTCTCAGTGTCCCTCAGATGTGGAAGCAACCTCAGGACAAGCCAGGTCTGGATTCTTCAGGTGTAAATCCTTTCTACGTCAGGTATCTATCATCACATTGTTACATTCCTCTAATCCTCTAGGAGAAGATAAAGCGACTGAACACCAACCTGATTCTGGAAATTCATAAACACAGGGAAAGCCCGGAACTAACACCCCTGTGAACCACAAAGACCCAGCAGCTGCCCTCCTGAGCGCAACACAATCCAAGAGCCACAAGGAGGCACAATCAAGACCTGAGGGCAGGCCCTATGCAGATACAACTGCTCACTCCCTAAGCAACACAAGCCGAGGTCAGGAGAGCTCACCCAAAGTGTCTAACTTCACAGCCCTAACTGCTTTCTTGCTACTAGGGCTAGTCAGAAGTATCTATTCCTGCTCCCATACTATGCTTCTCCCTTGGAAGCCTACAGGCTCTGCCACCTGATGTCACTCAAACCCGTTCACCCACAATGTGATCTTTCCAACACTGAGGTCTGTGCTGGGTTCCTCAAAGACTTCACTTTCACTCCCTGCTGCATGAACTCTCAACTCCTCTGCTTGGCACTAAGGGCCTCTCACTTCTGGCCTCCCATTCACCTCTGCAGCGTCATCTCCCTCTGCTGTCCACACAGCTCCCCAAAGAGATGGGTTCTCCCTCCTATGATTTTGTCCTAGAAACTACTCTTCCTGTGTCAAGGCACCCATTTGATAGGTGGGTGGCTGAAACCCTCCACCGCAAAGAATCGCAAAGGCCCGGAGAACCTGAGCCCTCGACAGGAGAGGCCACTGAATCAATGGATTAAAGGACAGACTGCTGAATGAAAGCAAGGGCTGAGGCCCAGCCCTCTCCAAAATGCCAACGCCAGGACCAGGCAGGTGAGCTAGAAACGCTAATATCTGCTACTCTTTTCTAGCGCTAGTGTGATGGTGCATTACTTAAAGTAGGGGCCTTTCTCTACAGGAAACCCAAAAACTTGGAAAATTCCAACTGGCTATGTAAATCAGTACCCCTTCCAGTTTAGTCTACCCCTCGTTTCTTGAACAGGCAAACTCCTCAATGAAGTCTTGACACTTGCTCCCGGTCCAGCAAGGGCCACAAAGACCCAGAGTCCCGGATATCTCTTGGTGCTTAAGAGTTTTCCTGGAGTAATCTTTACCTAGCAGGACGAGGAGGACATTGCCCCTCGAGAGGTGGGCAGGTCGGCAGGGATTCCCTACTCCTTCCCCCGCGCCTTCGTCATCGTCCTCCTGGGGACCACAAGAGCCCGGCCTGAGGCGTTGGACCCCCACCTACAGCCTTCCCTTCACCCTCACGGCCAGGCTGCCAGCAAACCCCGGAGGCCACTCAGCCTAGGAGCGACGGTCCGACCCACTGCCCCCAACTCTGAACTCTGAAGACTCCCGACCCGCTGGACCCGTCCTGGAGCTGCGGCGGTCAAAAAGGGTACATTCTTCCCCACCCCACCCCGGAAAGAAAAGGCCGAGCGAGTCAAGCTGCAGATAGGGCCAGGTGAGCGCAGGCGGGGCGGTCCATCCGGCCCGGGGCCGGGCCCTGGGAGTCGCCCGGGGGATACCATCCCAGCCAGGGGCGCCGCGGGACGCCAGCGGCAGAGAGGAAGGAGCACCTCCCCTTTCCGCTCCGGGCCTCGCCCGGCCTCTGGGCCCCGAGGCGCAGCCGTCCCGAAGGAAGGGAGTCGCGGGAGCAGACAGGAGAAAAGGACACTTACTTAAAAGGCTACATAGTTTCACTCTCTGCCCTTCCCGGAGCGGCGGCGACACCTCCCAGCCCCTGGGATCTAGCCTCAGGGCCCACCACCCCAGCGGGCGGCCCCACTTCACCACCCACCCTCTTACTCCACCGTTGGGCGGAGACGCACCTCAAGGCCCCGAGTCAGCCCAATGAGCGGCCGTCCTTATCCAGACTGACGTGAGCGCAGAGCAATCATTAGGTCCTCCCAGCCGGGGGAGGGGCTCAGGCAGCGCACAGCGCTTCCGACTCAGGTTGGTCTAGCCTACAGCTGCCGACTGCGCGTGCCCGGGACGGGAGAGGGCGGGCCGGGAGCAGATTTGACACTAGGGAAGAGGTCCAAGCATGGTTTCTGGAAAGCGGACTGGATCGAGATGGGGAGACCCTGACGCCATAGTGCCCCATGGGTCGCCCTTTACTGCTACCTTTGGAGGATGGAGGTCCCCAGGCCTACGAAGCACACCGCTCCCGTCTCTGGCAGAGGCTGGAAGTCATAGTCCCTAGGTTCTAGTCGCCTCACTTGCATGGATGTCGAGTGACCTATGTCCCCCGCCTTTTCTTTACCTGGGCCTCAGTTTCCTAATGCGTAAAATCGAGGGTTGGGTCTGTCGAGCGCTAATATTCCAGAACTGCAATGGGGTATGGAGGAGGCGGAGATGGGGGACCTACACGTGACCTCCCTGCGCGGGGGGTGGGGGGCCCCCGCCTATCCCTTGTCCAGAGAATGGAAGCGCCCCACGAGGACGCGCGGGAGTGGGTGGATCCTTAGAAACACTATCCGGCCGCTCTTGGCAGCGGCTAAGGCGGAGCGCGCAGCTCGCGGGCCAGCCCTGGCGACAGCACCAGAGGAGGATGGGGACTGCAACCCAGGCTTCGCACGGGGCCACTGTGGAGGCCAGGGCCGTGAAGAGACCCAGAGTGTGACTCGAAACGTATCTGGGGGGATGAACGACAGAACGGGAGGTAGCTAAAGGGGTTCCCTCTCCGCGCCCGGTCCTCGGAGGCTCACGTCGGGGTCCCGAGTGGGCTCCGTCGACAGCGCTGCAGCGCGCGACCAGTCTTGGGCCATGAAGAGGCTGCCAGCGGCCCAACCCGGGGCTGCGGTCGAAGTTGGACGAATTCTGCCACGCTGAGGGCGTGAGGCCGACAGGGGCGCAGGCGGCCCGGTTGTGCTGGAGCGCACCGACATGGCGAGGGAGGAGTGCAAGGCGCTGCTGGACGCGCTCAACAAGGCAACTGCATGCTACCACCACCTGGTGCTGACCGTCGGTGGCTCGGCAGACTCACTGAACCTGCGTGAGGAGCTGCAGAAGACGCGTCAGAAGGCGCAGGAGCTGGCGGTGGCTACCGGCGCCCCCCTGACGACAGCACTGCGAGACAAGGGCTTGCGCGCCGAGGAGCGTGCCGAGTTCCAGCGCCTCTGGGTGGCCTTCTCCGGCTGCCTGGAACTGCTGGAAGCCGACATGCGGCGCGCGCTGGCCCTGGGCACCGCGTTCCCACTGCACGCCCCGCGGCGGCCGCTTGTGCGCACGGGTGTGGCAGGCGGTGCGACTGGTGTAGCGGCGCGCGCCCTGAGCCTCCGCAACCCGCCGCGCGAGGCGGAGCGGGACCTCGACGTGGAAGATCTGCGCGAGCTGGAGCGGGAGATCCTTCAGGTGGGCAAGATGATCCACAACATGGAGATGAAGGTCAATGTGCCCCGCTGGACAGTGGAGGCCCGGCAGGCGGCGGGTGCTGAGCTTATGTCTAGTGCTGGCGCCTCCACGGCGGGCTTTGTGTCCGTAGAAGAGCGCACAGGGCCCTGCGACCGGAGCAAAGCCCTGGCTGCCACGGTTTTCAGCGCCGTGCTGCTGGCGGCTGTGGCCCTGGTGGTGTGCGTGGCGAAGCTGAGCTGACCGACACCCGGCGGCCCCCCACCGCCACTACTCCTTCCTTCCCCGGAGACGCCCCTCTCCCGGAATGACCTCTACCGCCGGGACTCAGGATGGGAGGAATTCGGAATGTTTAAGGGGAGCGGTTCTAAAACTCCATGTGTGTACACGAATGTTTCAAGCACACATTTGCCATCAGAACGTGGTTCCCTCTGGCTGGGCGGGGAGGAGTTAATTTTGTGAAGGCCGGCAGGGCATTACCGCTAATGTCTGCAGAAGCTTTATAGCTTTATCCCCTATTAATAGAAAACCGTCCACAGTGACCCTAGATTCCTCTGAGTTAATGGGCTACCGCGTGTGCTGCTGGGGCATGTTTAGACCGAGCCCAGGCTTGGTGCCATCATCCCTGCTGGCGACTCCCACTCTCTGCATAGGGCAGTTTGATAACGGGGTCGATGAGATGAAGTGTAACTGCTTTGCTGGGGGTAAGGGGGTCTCCTGAATGAGAGGCAGATTGCAGCAAGATATAAGCAGGTTTTTGTTTGTTTGTTTTTTAAAATTATTACCTTAATCCTTTGGGGCCTAAATTTAGGAGAGTGCAAATTTCCATTTCATGTAAAGAAGATCATGCAAAATGCTTTCCCGATAGCTCACTATTGGGCTTCTTGACAGAGTTTACCCATTCGTCACCAAATCAGAAGAGGTTTGGGGTCTTGTCCTCCCGCGCAAGGTCTGGTTCTGCTTGGGAAACCAGAGAAGGGCCATAGAACCTGCCTTCAGGGGATTGGAGCCACTTCGAACACTGCCTATTTAAAAGGGCTCTCCCTGCCAGCTGGGGAGCGGTGCAAGCTTCGGGAAGGGCCGCATGTTATTATGTAAACAGAGGCTTTATGCTTTGCTTTGGCTCATTTTTGTTCCAGAACTAGACCAGTTTTTGATCCTCCTTTGGGGGAGGGCTAGGGAATCCTCTTTGAAGCCCTTAATCGTATCTATCCCTTGGAATTTACTTGCCAGCCGGTAGGAGAGTTAGCTTGGGAAGGAGCTGCTCAGCGATCTGACCCCAACACTGCCCCCTGATGGCATCACTGGCACATAGCGGCATCACTGGCACATAGCGGCATCACTTGGATTATTTGAGCCAATTAGCCAAGACTGGGTTAGACTGTTAACACCTTTAACTTGGAATTAAGTTTAAGAAGCATTTTAAAAGTAACAATCATTTTAAAGAAAAATCACATAACTACATTGTGTAGTATCCAAGCTGGGGTTTTTTCTTAAAGGGCATTTGGCCACAAATTTATATGTGCCAATGAGTCAAACATAGTCTTTACTTAGATACTTTGGTTACTAAATATATATCTGCATCTGTTTTTAAAATTGATCTTGAAGGCAGAAGGTCATAGCAAAAACTACCAAAACCGTTAAGTATAGATGACAGAAGTGGCCCTTGCTTCTTTAAAAAAAATTTAAACATATTATTTAGTGATTCTAGAGAGGGGGAGGGAGAGAAAGACATCAATTTGTTCCACGTATTTATGCATTTATTGGTTGCTTCTTGTATGTGCCCTGACCGGAGATCAAACCCATAACCTTGATGAGACAATGCTCTAATCAACTGAGCTACCTGGCCAGGGTGGCCCTTGCTTCTTTTGGTCAATAAATAAGGAAATGTAGAAAACACCCTGGGTCTCAGGCTGGAATTTGCCTGAGCAAGGCTGCCACCTCCTACCTGTTGTAGAGAGAGCATCTTTTGAGAAAAAAAGATGCATTTAACTCCATAAAGGTAATAATTTGGAATGTAACTTGGAGGCTTTGGTTTGGCTGAAAACTGGCAAGAATTTTTTTTTTCTTTTTTAACCCCCAAAGTGAGACGAGGAACCAGGAGGAGGAAACTGGCCGTTTTTCACAAGGGCAACTTGGAGGGCCAAGGGGCAGAAGCAGATATCAGCAGGAGCGCTGCTGGGGCAGCCGGTCCTCACGAGGGGTGACTTCCCGCCCGGCCCACCCGCACTCTTCCTTAGCGCACAGGTCCCAGTAACTTAGAGTATGAAAGGTTTGTGTGCATCTGTGATAACAGTTTCAAAAGACTCACAAGGTCTTAAGCTGATTGAAAATTTTGTGGCAAATTAAAAGGAACTCCTAATTAAAAGGAACTCCTGCCTCATCCAGTCTGGGTGAATCTGACAGTAGCCCATGTCAAATTCTTTCACACTCGATGGCCAGGGTACTTTCAAAAACAGAATGGAACGTTTTCCCACTCCCTTCTTCCTCTTCTCATGTACAACACGACATGAAATCTCTGTCACCTCCCCGAAGTCACATCTCAGAGAAGAGGAAGCTGGGGCATTTTTGACCCAGTACTGGTACATATCCCTAAAAACCAAGCCCTGAATAGATTCTCCTCTCCCTAAAACTGTGGCTATCTATTCTTTTTAATTAAATTTATTGACTTTAGAGAAAGGGGTTAAGGGAGAGAGAAAAAGATCAATTTGTTGTTCCATTTATTTAGGCATTCATTGGTAGGTGCCCCGACTAGGAATAAAACCTTGGTGTTTTGGGATGATTATCTAACCAACTGAGCGACCTGGCCAGGGCTTCTGTTCTTATCAAGGTGTTTTGTTCATGAAAAAGAAATTGTTCAGGCCCTGGCTGGTTAGCTCAGTTATTTAGAACATTGTCCTGATATGCCAAGGTTGCAGGTTAGATCTGTGGTCAGGGCACATGCACAGGGAATCAACCAGTGATGCATAATAAATAAGTGGAACAACAGGTTCTCTCCCTCTCTCTCTCTCTCTCTTTCTCTACCTCCCCCTCTCAAATCAGTAAATAAACTTAAAAAAAAAAAAGGAAAAACAAAAATTTCAGCAGAACCTGTTAAAGAAACAGCCCATTAGAGTTTGTATATATTGCCTTGGCTGGTGCGGCTCAGTGGATTGAGCACTGGCCTGTGAACTGAAAGGTCACTGGTTTGATTCCCAGTCAGGGTACATGCCTGGATGGCCGGCCAGGTCCCCAGTTGGGGGCACATGAGAGGCAACTGATTGATGTATCTTTTGCTCATCAATGTCTCTCTACCTCCCTTCCCCCTCTCTAAAAATAAAAATAATTAAATTATTATCTAATCCATAGAGAGCAATTGGGACAACTTTTTTTCCTGCCACTCTTTCCATCCACTTGACAGATCTGAGATGGAGGCAGACTTTGTCCTCCAGAGTCACTCCGGGTCATAATGGATGGGGAAATAAAAATAAGCCATTCCGGACACTTTCTCGGTCTGCCAGGGAAAGGGGGGTAGCGATTCCCTCTAGTGGAGCATGCCCCAAGCCCCTCTTTCCAATGGCTTTTATTGAAAGGGTTATCAGTGGGGACTAGGTAGCAGGAAGGCACAGGTTGTCTCATTACATCAGTATGCTAATGTTTACAGAGAATAGGTGATGTTTTGAAGAAAACAAATGCCAGGAACACACCAATTTACATGGGTCTGAGATGAGCAAACATAGGAGCACCAAATGGTTTAGGGTCAGGGTCTGTGAACAATGTAAATTTCCCTCCCAGTGTGAGTGGTTATAATAGCTTTGAGGGAAAAACAAAGCATGCTCCAAGGAATTTACTTCTAGGCTTGATTTCCCCCAGGAACCACCCAATCCAATTTAGGGCTGCCTCTCATTATTGTTTCAAGCCTGAGCCAGGAAGGTGGAGCAGAGCAGCCCAGAGATAAGGAGACTTCTTTCAGATAGAATGAGGACTCTGGCCATATCAAAGCCGAGGCATGAGGGTCTTTTGCCTTTTCTCCATGTCTCCCAAGTCCTTCCCTGATGGCCCTTATGCGACTGTGACTGTCTTAGCTTGCCCCTGCCGTCAAGGGGTCTTACCCATCATTGACTAACCAGCCATCCTCTGGGGCCAAGCAGGGTGATGTGAGGGAGGCAGGGGGACAGGTTTGGTCTCTTCAGTGGCCTATTTTCCCAAGGCCTCCTTGCTCAGCTCCAGCCTTGGGGCCCTCTCGCCTGTCGGCGAAGCTACAGTCCGTGAAACCAGGCGGGACGGTCCCCAGCAGCAGATCCTTGGGTATTTACTTACATGTGTAATCGGATGTGTACCTGATTCCAAGAGTCCTCTGTTCACTGAAATTAGTGGTAAAATGTTGCAACAAGAGGCTAAATTACCATAAACATATTTATCCTGTAGACCTATTAGCTTAAACAACTCTGAGTTTGAATTTTATTTTTTTTTATTTTGAGAGTACATTTATTAAATCTGGGGGCAGTGAAACAAGGAAGGGCTTAGGATAGAAGAAGCAACAGGAGAGCTGAGGTGGGCTGCTTTGGCTCACTGGGAAGTCAGGGAAAAGGGGCTTTGGAAACAGGTTCCGGGGCTTAGCTGGGGACAAGCTGCTGCTGCCCACTGCTCCCCTGGTTGCAAGTCTTGTGGGGACCCTTAGATTTTAGGAGATACACACCTTAAAGGGAAGAAAGGCATAGGCATGCTCAAGGGAGGGAGAACATGTCTGAAAATTTTAAACATTAGTAATATTTGGCATTATTTGTAGTTATAACCTTGTCTAATAGAACTTTTGCTCTATGATACAAGCAAAATCACTTTCTGTGTGAGCAAGAGCCTGCTCTCTCTAGCTTTCTGCTCTCATTTCTATAGCTAATTCAAGAAATTGCTTTCTGGTAGAAGCCTGACTTAATTTAGGTGTTTGATATCAGTTACTAATTTTCTAAAAAACATTTGGTATGATCTTATACCATGATACAAGTGATAGGGGAAAACAAAACACCAAAGTTCAACATGTTTAATATAGGAGATAGATGAAGAGGTCAATGTTAAAGTCTATGGGCAGAGAACGTCTATTTCCCCAAATTAAAGGTTCAAGTTACAGGATAGATCTTTACTTCCAAAGTAAAATGCTATTGTGAAGTAAAATCTCTGGTAAAGTTAAATACCTGTAAAGAGAAAACACCCCTGGCTTCTCTTCTGGGAAAACAACACTGGTTTATGTGCTAGTGAGAAGACAAGAACTTGGAATGTCTAGACTCATTGTGGGAACTTTGAACTATTGCTATTAGTTTAAAAAAAAATGTTTGTAGAAGTTGCCAGTAGGCAATTTTTTTATGTGTTCTAAGAACTTATGCTTTTAAATGCCATAAGGGAAAATATTTTTAGTAAATAAAAGTAGAGTATAAACTTAATGACTTACCTAAGGTTTACAGTAAGCTACATATGAGATGTGTGATGTTGAGTGGCTAAAAAATAGTTCTGCTTGGAGAGAGTTCTGGTTTGCATGTGGACCCTGATGATGCTGCATTTTCCTTTTCAATGTGCACAATGATATGTTTTTAGCTACTTAGGTGCTTTCCAGAATGTAGTTCTCTGCTCTGTATTGGTCAACACAGCTCAAAGTCATATTCAAATACTGTTTCTTTGGCTGTTGGGAACAGACCAAAAGGGAGGGAACTGACCACATGCTGCAGCCCTGTGTCATGAGGACTAAATGAGTTTCTGGAAAAGCATTCCTCTCTTTCATTTACTCATTTTATCTCATTCCACAGAGGATTCTGGGCATTTTCATTGTAGTACTATGAGATCTTGGGCATCCTTGTTCTTTGGTATGGAAGTTTAGAACTGTATAAACTTAAGGTTTATGTAACAAATGTAAATAAGCCAAATGAGAGATTCTGTTGGCAAACTGATTTTTAAAAGTCCTTTTAATATGCCATTACCATAAGGCAAAGTTGAGTGTTCCTGTTTGTATGTATGTGTGAGGTATATAGAGAAAATCTTCAAGGAAATATACAGAAATGAAAATTTTTCTTAAGGTTGTGGAGTTATGAATGGTCTTTTTCATTATTTTTATTTAGTGTTGGTATATGGTTTTTACAATAAAAATGTCAATGCTCTTATCACCTAGAAAATGTCATTGTTATTAAAAAAATATTTTTTTATAGTTAGGATCTCAATTATAATGAGAAACAATTTCAGAACCTTCCTGAATGGCAACAGCTATTTCCACCTTACAGGGTTTTGTGAGGATTATACGGCTAATCCTTACAAAGTTCGCGTCTCACACACAGGAAGTGTCAGTAAATACCATTGCTCCTAGTGTTGAAGGACTGCTACTTCAGACTCCTAAGCTAGAACCTTCCTCTCCCTCACTCTGCATGTTCAACCAATTACTACATGACATCAAATCTCTCTCTAAATACCCTAAATCATTCCCTCCTCCTACTTCACCCCCTCTCCACAGCCGCTCTCCTAACTCTGGCCCTCATTATTTCTTGCCTAGCACATTCCATGAGCCTCTAGTTCAGACCCATTCAATTAAGTCACCACACTGGTGACAGGGTAACCTTTGAAGATACAAATTTGATCATGTCCCTGTGACCTATTACAGCTTCCCTTGGCTTATAGAACTGGGACTGCAGGGGTGTAGGGGATTGTTAAAAGCACAGGTTCCAGGATGTCACCCAGACTCGATGGTTCTGAAATGATCCCCAGAGCAACTGTGGATTCTGTAGATCCAAGTGGATGAAAGTTAGCAGACTCTCCCAGGGCATGTGTCCTCCCTTGCCCTGGAGACCAAAGTATCGGCTGATTATCTCGGAGAGCATGGATTCGAGGAGGACCTTTCACACTCAGGCTGTGCAGTGGAAAATTTATGATTTGGCATCTGGTGCACCCATCATTTTCTCGTTGGTGGGGTTCATGTGAGCCTGCAAAGCTCGACACCTGCCCCTTGGACACTTCCCTGCCGCCCAAAAAAGAAACATATCCTTGTGTCAACAAAGGCATAGTTCTCAGGTTTTGGTCGGGTAGCTGCCACCAGGCCTGGGACCGCTTCTCACTTTTACCAGGGCAGGTCACGTGCGCCTATAAACATACCTGCTCTTGGTCCAGTGTCCTGAGTGAGGAATGTACAGCTTTCCTTCCAGGAGGCTGTGACAGTCCTTGACCAGCGACAGTGACGTTGATGGGAACGAGGGCACTGGAGGCGGTGCTTCCCCACACCCATCCGGTACCGGGGCAGGCCCGACAGCCTGGATTCCCAAAGCGCCCGGAATGCGGCAACTCATGAGCTTCTGTCCTCAGACCCAAGAAGACCGCTGGGGGTTGTAGGGTCCATACGTTGGAGCGCCTGCCGCGCCAGAAGCTGGGCGCCAAAAGCCATGAGCAGCTTATTGCGGTCGACCTCAAGCAGCTGGCGGCGGGCAGCCACCGTGGTACTGGTGGCAGGCTGGACGCACCCAAGCCTCGCTGCCCCGTCGCTGCCGCCGCTTCCAGATGAGGGCTTCCGGCTGTTGCTGCAGCAGCGCTCCAAGCAGCTAAGTTTCTTCCCCGGGGCGCACGTCTTCCCGGGCGGCGCCGTGGACCCGGCAGACAGCTCAGCCGACTGGCTGCGCCTCTTTGCGCCTCACCACGGGCCGCCGCGTTTCGGCCTGGGCCTCGCGCCACTCCAGCGCACCACTTTCCCCGAGCTGCCCGCCGCGGGGCCCGCCACCGCCACCGAGGACGGCGCTGCGCTGCCGGATGACGTGACCTTCCGCATCTGCGCCCTCCGCGAGGCCTTCGAGGAGGCTGGCGTGCTGCTGCTGCGGTCTCGGGCCTCGCCAGCTGCGTTGCCGGAGCCGGGCTGCGCCCTCCTGTCCGAGGTGGAGCTGAAAGCCTGGCGCGCCAGAGTCCACCACGACGCGCGCCAATTCCTGCACTTGTGTGAGCACCTCAACTGCACCCCAGACATCTGGGCGCTGCACGACTGGAGCTGCTGGCTCACGCCGTTCGTGGGCCGCGGCGGCCGCCGCTTCGAGACGACCTTCTACCTGTGCTTCCTGCGTGAGCTGCCGCTGGTCTACCCGGACTTGGACGAGGTGGTGAGCTGCGAGGTAAGGCGTACTCACGGAGCAGAGTGGGGACCCCGGCCTAGACTAAGACCCACCTAGAACTTCCGAATAAGGGCGGTACAACCAATAAGTGAACGGGCGTGGGATCCAGGCGGTCTGACCCCAAGCCGAGCAGGCCAAAGCCAGGACTTCTGGTGAAGTGTTTTCCGCGGCTTCACTGTCTCAAAGCTTTGACTTTCGTCTCCCCACCCGGCTCCCTTAAGGGATCCACTCCGGAGATCCTAGGAATGGAGCACACTACTGTTAGGCTCCAGGCCCCTCCTAGGCACTTTACATACATTGTCATTTCACCTCCAGAGCAGTTGAGTTCTCAGAGAACATACTTTATGTGATTTAAATCTTTTTGAATTTAGCCCTGAACTGTGTGGCTCAGTTGGTTCGGCGTCCTCCGGCAAAGCGAAAAGGTCCCTTGTTCCAGTCCTGGTCAGGGCACATGCCTGAGTTGTGGGCAGGTTCCCAGCTGGGGTGTGTGACAGAGGCACCGACGGATGTTTGTCACATCAGTGTTTCTCTCCTTCCATTCCTTCCTCTCCTCTCTCTAAAAATAAATGAATAAAATCCTTTTCTTCTTAAAGGGGTTTACTTTAAAAAAATCTTTTAAAATTTATTGAGTTTGTTTTATGGCCACATATATGGCCTATTTTGATGAATTGTACCCTTCACACCTAAAAAGAATATTCTGCTGTGTTTGAGGGAGTTTTTAAAAATGACAATTAGGTTAGATTCCTTGTTAATGTCTTTCAGGTCTTCCATTTTTACTTGTTCCATCAAATACTGTACTGAGAGAGGAATGCTTAAATCTTCAACGAATAACTGTGGGTTTGTCTTGTCTTTTCAGTTTATCAGGTTTTGCTTCATGTATTTTAGAGTTCCCTTGTAAGGCGCTGCACAGATATCTAGGACTGTTAAACCCTGATGGATTGACCCTTTGATTATTATGAAATAGTATTCTTTATTCCTGGTAAGACTCCTTATCTGAAATCTGAAGCTGACTGTCTGATACTAATATAGCCACTCTGCCTTTCATTTGATTAACAATTGCATAGTATATGTTTTCCCTTTTAACCTATCTGTGCCTTCATAGTTAAAATGTGTTTCTTGTAGGCGTCATATAGTCTTGCCTTTTTACCCAATATGACAATTTCTTCCTTTTGTTTAGATAATTTATATTTGATGTAATTATCAATAAGGTTAGATTCAAGTCTACCACTTTACTGTTAGTTTTTTATCGGTCCCATCTATTCTTTGCACTGCTTTTCTTTTCCTGACTTCTTTTGGATTATTTGAGCATTTTTAAGACTCTGTGTCATCTCCATTATTGACCTATTAACTATATCTCTGTGTTATATCTCTTTGCACATTGCTCCCTTTATTGCAAGTCTTATGGGGACCCTTGGGGTTTAGGAGATGAGTGCCTGTTGGGGAAGAAGAGAGGAAGGGGAAGGTGCTGGTGAGCTCCCTGTGCTCCCCGTGCTCCCCATGCTCCCTGGAGGGAGAGGGCTCGCTGGGTCCTTTGTTTTGAGGGTTTCTCTCTCTTGTGGTAGGAATTTTAGGGAAGGTCTTCGGGATGTTTTCAACAGAGTATTTGTCAGTTTTCCAGGTGTGCTGTCTCAGGGTTGTGGTCTTCACTGATTGGTCAGTGCCAGGGTAGGGGGTTATTAGTCATTGCAGGGGACCTGGCTCACTTACCTGGCTCTGCTGCTTTCCTGAGCCTGGAGCTTAGATGTTACCTCCAGGGAGATGACCTTCTGCATCGGGCTGTAAATTGCTTGGCCAGTTTGTTCAGCTGTCTGTTTCTCTATTCCACTTGTCCTGGCCTGTCTCAGAACTCTTGAGTTCACCTCATTTTTCTTTTCTCACACATTACAATTCTGCATTTTTCAGTGTTCAAAATGGTGGTTTTTATAGATTTTTGTCCACTTATCTATTTTTCACCTTGTATTGGGGGAAGGTAATATGGACTTCATGGCTGGCAGAGGAGGTTCCAATAAATAATTCTTAGTCTGGTTAAGTCTAGTGGTTCCCATTAGGAGATTCACCCACCCCACAAACAGGTACATCTGACAATGTCTGGAGACATTTTTGGTTCTCACAACTCAGGGACTTCTGCTGGCTTCTACCTACTAGAGCCTAAGTATGCTGTAGTGCACAGGACAACTTGCCACAACAAAGAGTTATCTGGTCAAAAGTGTCAATAGTGCTGAGGTTCCAAAACCTAGTGGAAATAGAGTGGAATTTAGAACCAGTTCCCCCTCCCAACCCCAAGTTTGAAGCCCAGATTTTTAGATAGAATAGCTGCCTGAGTTTCTTCATCTGTAAAGTGATAGTATGCAGAATTGACCTAAGGACTGGAGATATTTTACATAAAGTACTTGAGCAGCACTTTACTAGTAACAAGTAACCAATAAGTGGTAACATCTTTTATTTTTAAACATTTTTTTAAATTTATTTTTACAGAGAGAGGAAGGGTGGGAGAAAGAGAGGGAGAGACACAACAATGTGCAAGAGATAGATTCATACACACACTCACAAGTAGGGACCTGGCCTGCAACCCAGGCATGGGCCCTGCCTGGGGATCGAACCAGTGACCGTTCCGTTCACAAGCTGTCACAGGCCGCCACTCAGTCCATTGAGCCACACCAGCCACAGAGTAACTTCTTTTAGTCTATGGTCTGGACTGACCCGAACAGATTGAATTAAGTGGGTTGATGCCTATTGTTTAACCCTTATCTTGATTATTATCACTGAAGTCACTTAGAACTGACAAAGCAGAATTCTTTGTAAATAATTTAAAGATTGGGTGGTCCTTTGAAGCCCAAGCTTTGTTTGTAAAATGCAGCCAGCTTCAGAATAATCTGGGGTGCTTGTTAAACATGGATTGTTGGGCCCCATAGAATGAAGATTCAATAGGTTCCTTAGGGGATGTTTAAGCATGTACAAGCTGGTAAACCTTTGGCCTCTAATTATCCAAGGCAGAGGTCAATTTCAACTCCCTGGGTTAGGGTATGGGAATCAGTTTTCCTGAGTGTAAATGGATATGTAGTAAACCAGTTAAAGAAAGACCTTTTGGGGTTATTCCATATTCATTGAATTAGCTCTTTTTATCCAAATGTGTATGGAAGGCAGGCTCAGGAAAGAGGGTAAGTCACAGCACTGAGGCCATTTAAGTACAATGGGCCAATGCTGGCTGGTTGCCACTCTGCTGTGATTACATTCCTGGGACTATAGACTGAGTTATGTTTCTTGACCCTCCTTAAAGCTCCTACTGCTCCTGACTTTGTACCCCCATTATAACATGTGGCACATTCTGGTTGCTAAAGGCCCCATAGGGCCTGAGAGAGCTTTGTCTTGTCTGCTCCCAGGTCTTCAGGGCCTAGCCATGGCACTTATTTATGGGAGGAACAAATGGACACTATATTCTCAATCTGCTGCCATGAGTTTCCACTTCAGACTCTTCTTTCCTTCAGGGATGACCAGAACTACTTTGCCTTCCAGGTATCTCCTGCCTTTTATGCTGAATGACTATCAGCCCTTGGTGCACTATCCTGGTTTACTAGTTCTCAAGGTCAGTATCCGAATAATCAACCTCTTAAGGAGATCAACTCAGCTTTCTTCACCAAACCTTTTCATGTTGTCTCAGAGGAATCTAGCAAAGTGCATTAGTGAATTAACTACATCCTCAGTTACATCTTAGGTACTGATCTAAAGATCTCAAGTCTGATACTGTCTGTGGAGTAAACTTCAGGAAGCCCTACCTTTGTCTTCCACAGTGGTTATCTCCATCAGAGGCAACTAGAAGATTCCTATCAAAAGAAATTTTTTTGGCACCCCCACAGTTCTATGAAATAAGAAGATTTGAAAACTTTGCCTCTCTGTCTGACTTGCACAAATTTTGTTTGGATCATATATTAGAAGGGGTGGAAAGATGGATGCCAGTCAACTTGTTAACTGCTGATGGGAGAATCATCCTTTTACCAGGTAAACCAGCAAAGTGGCAATGCTTTTGTTAGTATTCGCACTTAATTCACTGGGCTGTACTGCAGTATTGCCCAACAAAGAGACATGATTTGCAGTCTATTTTACATACTACAGTGGTATTAATTAAATACGGTCAAAGTCTATAAAATACAATAGTATTTATTATAACTAGAAGTTCTGAGTAAGTTACTTTACACACTTATACATTTATGTAAGTATATTTTCTAGACATTGACAAATTCTTTCACATTATCTCACTTTTTTATATTTTGAGCCCTGGATGGTGTGGCTCAGTGGATTGAGCACTGGCCTGCGAACCAAAGGGTCGCCCGTTCAATTTCCAGTCAGGGCACATGCCTGGGTTGCATGCTAGGTCCCCAGCAGGGGATGCATGAAATGCAACCGCACATTGATGTTTCTCTCACTCTCACTCTCGTTCTCCCTCTCTTCCCCTCTCTAAAAATAAATAAATCTTTAAAAATTTTTTTTGAATTATGAGAACTTGTAAATTGTCAACTTACTTAAATCAGGGAGTTCGTTGGTGATCAGTTGTTGGGCACGTGTCAGATGGAGGTTTCGTGGCAGTTTGGCGTGCGGCTTTATGACTGTCCTATTTATGGCGACCTGTCTCAGTGTTCACAACAGTGATAGTATTTGTTACTCACCCTACTGTGGGAGAATTTAGCAATTTTAATGTATAAATGATGATTTCTCTAATCTTAAAATTACTACAGCAGTCCACATTAAAACACCAAAAATATATTGATATAAAGGCCAATATTAATATCGCCTAGGCTAAAGAGAGACATGAAGTATATAAAAGTTATAGTTACGATGAAAAAATACCAGTCATAAATATATATGTGCCCAAGAAAATTCTTGAACACAGAATGGGTGTTAGGGAGCGTGGGTACTAAGAACATAAGAAAGAAATTGAGGTAAATTCATACAATTAGGGTTATTTAACAACCATCTCAGTTCTAAGCACATGAAATAGATTTAAAAACATACTGATTTATATGTCACTAATATATTGGAATGTTTTATAAAATAACTTTGTGGAATTAAAATATTATTTTTCAGGAGATGAGCTGTACTTAGAAGATTCAAAGTTTTTAGAAGATAATATGTCCAGTGATAGAAAGACTGAAGAAATCATGAAGGAGGGCAAGAAATTTCACCGAATGGTGGTACACAGTCGCCATTGTTATAGCATCCATGTGACTGTTCAGTCCAAGTATAAACATGTTTACCCTAAGACCTATGTTGTAAATAAGAGCCATTTGTAATGTATTGATTATTTGTAAGATGGCCTACCTGAAGGTGTCCTAATAATTAATGAGGGTTAAATATTCTTGCTTGGAATTTAAAGAACTTTGTGCCTATAAAAATTATACTAGTCTTTCATATTTCAAGTGTATTATGGAGCTCTCTTGCTAATTTTGTTTTGTTAACTTTACAGTGTCACACAAATATAAAGTATTAATAATCTTGTTATTGAAATAAGAAAAAAATTCACAAGGGTTTGCACTTCTGTATTATTTTATTATCAAAAGTTTAAGTAAGCTGTTCTATTGCCATTGTCTATTAAATGTCCTTTGTATTAGCACCTTCATCGACGTGCTTAGGAGATCATGAATTCCTTAGACTTTCTGCTAGAGATAATTTCAGAGTGTCTGATTACATGATATACAATAGACTTATACAACCTTTGGGTGACAATGTTATTTTTTTGTAATGTTTTTAGCTTGATGATTAAGATATAATTCTGTTGAAAACTAAATAACATTAGTTATTAGGTTTATTACCAAACTGGAAATCTGTCTTAGTTAATATTTTTAAAGACATATGAGGCCATAACTATTTTTACTTTGGAGTGCTAGTTAATGAAACAAAGAGCTTAGAGAGATATAGACTTACTCATCATTTAATGGTGTTAATTAATGATGTTTATTTTCATATGGGTAATTTTCTCAGCTCCTCTTAGGAGGAATAATGTTTATTGATTAAAGGTGGGAAATGGTTAAGACACCAATTTTATTTGAGATCTTTGTATTACGCATTATAAAACGGATTTCATATTCTATGAAATGTTTTAATTTTTCTACTTATGAAATAGAGGTATTGATGAATTAAGTTTATGTTTATCATTTAATCCTGATTAGAGGAATAGATCAAGTGGTTCTCAACCCAGGGCACTTTGCCCTTCAGGAAATATTTGATCATGTCTGAAAACATTTTAGGTTGTCACAAGTGAGAGTGAGATGCTGCTACTCCTACCTAGCGGAAAGAGGACAGGGATGCAGTTAAATATCCCACAATACAGAGGACGGCTGCCACAACAAAGAATTATCTGGCCAAGGCTGAGAAACTGATATAGAATAAAATGTATTTTTTTCAGTAAATGATTCCAATATGTAAATTTTGAGAACCATGGACACTGTTAGCATTCTATTTGGCCTCTGAATCTACAAAAGTTCTTTCTGACTTTAGGCCTTGGGCATAATATTCTTTTATTCTTACAGATAATGGAATGTAGCTGGAAGAGACCTCAGTGAACACTACAGTCTTCCTGATGAGAAAACTGCAAAACAGATTCACATAGGTACTGCCACAGCCAAGAGTAGAACCAGATTCATTGTTAAGCAAGTGACATCTGTTCCTTGTCACCAAAAGCTGGTATTTGAACACTTCTGCCTACTACATCTTGGTAGCATAGTTGCCAAGGAAACCACAGCACAGCCAAGCATTGGATGGGACAACACTTCACTCACACAGAGAAGAGGCAGAGCAAGATCAGCTCTAGAAGTGCATGTTGGTCCCCCATGGCCGGCAGGCCCCCTCCCTGCAGCCAGCACAAGACAACTGGCCTGCACATAGCTTTCTTGTGCTGCAATAGAAGGACCCCATCTCTTCCCTACAGGGGACAGACATAATAGTGGGGTGGTCTTGGTGCCATATGAAGCACACACTTAAGCAGAAGAGCAAAGGACACATCTTGAGTTTGAAACAGGGAAAGATTTCCACACACTTAAGGTATCTAGTCCACCACAGGCTCTATGAAGACTCTGTCTCTTGGTAAGAAAGCGTTAGAGGCCCAGGGCCTATTCTCATGTGGCCGAGGGAAGGCTGAAAGACTGTGCAAAAAACTAGCTTTCTCAACCCTCCTAGGCCTGCATCCTTCACTGGGGTTAGATGGCTCAATGGGTAATTTTAGGAGATGTAGTAAGAAAGTAATATGACTGGTTTTTCTTCATAAAGATTTTTTTTTTTTTTTAAATGTGAACGAACCTAGGTTCCTTCCAAGAATTCCTTTGGGGAGACTGTCATGTGACTTCCTACTTGTGCTATCCTCCCAGCCCAAAATAATAGGGCTGCCCTCATGAGCTGAAAAAGGGTTTTAGAGCCCAGCTTGCTAGTGTTTGTAGCATATATCATGTTGTCTTCCTTACTTCATATTTAAGCTGCCTCAGCCTTATATACAGAAGCAGAAAGCCAATTTCTTGTCCCTATTCCTCCTTCTGGTCATCTTCTTGACCATGCTGGTATCCCTACTCCATTCCACCTTGTCCAGGGAAGAGCCAGGAAAACTTGTTTTCTACAATACTGTACAGTCTCTTTAAACTGCAGTTATAAGCTCAGGAATAAATACTAAGTCAGTACACATTTTCATTGCCTACCTCTTTGCTGATTCTTTTGGATGACATCTATAAAATCCCAAAAATGGGTTGGCATCAACATTTGAGGCTAACATGTCTTGTCCTGACATTTTTTTTTTTAAGTAAACATTGAGTGTCCTATATTGTAGCAGATATAATAAGAACTCAAATATGAGGGGATTAACTCTTAGCCCAGAGCTGATTTGTGTGTGTGTGTGTGTGTGTGTGTGTGTGTGTGTGGTGGGGGAGCCGGATGGGGAGCCCTCACATTTGAGCAAATGTAATTAGTTCACAGTTTCTCCTTTCTCCTCAAACCTCTATTTTTTTTTCAATTTTTCTGCAAATTTGACAGTATTCCATTCCTTGCTCCCCCTTACCCACTCTTCCTCTGGCCTCTCTAATTTCTTCTTCTCAAATTGACTTTTAGATCTTAGAGTCCCTCAGTACTTATTCTCAGACATTTTTCTCTCCTTGGGTGATGTTCAAGTCACATCCCTTCAAAATGAAATTGTTCGCCCTTTACAGATGTTAAGGTATATCTGCCTGTCAGACTTGAACTGCTCACCTCTTGCTTCTTAATGTGAAAGAAAATACACTTCTATTTTATGTAAACCACTAGATAGGGGTGGGCAAAAGTAGGTTAATAATAACAATATAATAATAATACAAGAATAAACTTTCGCATACGCACAGCTCTAAACCTACTTTTGCTGACCTCTGCATTTTAAGGTGTCTGTTAAACAACTTTAACTTGTTCCGTAACCTATAATTTTTGCTCCCTAAGCAGTTTCCCTCAGTACAGTCTTCCCTATATCAGAAACTTTCCAGTTATTTAAGCTAAAAATCTTAAGTCACTCTTGATTCCTCTCTTTTCTTCATTCCTATATCCAGGTGACTAGCAAGTCCTATTGATTCTGTTACCCACAATTTACTTGAATTTTCCATCTACTGACCTCTGTACTACCACCTTAGTCTAAGCCAGTTATCTCTTACCAGACAGCTGTAATAGCCTCTGAGCAAGTCTCCCCATTTTCATTCTGGCCTTGTATTCTCCCATTGAGCTGGAAAAGTGATCTGGACATTGAAATTTAAGTCATGTCCTGTCACTGCCCTCATTAAAACCCATGGATTTTCTTCACATTTAAAAACTAAGTTAATTTACTGTCGTCTATAAGGCCCCACCTAATCTCATCATTCACCCTTTTCCTCTACACTCCCATCAAAAGGGTCTTTCTTGTTCCTTGAGTATTCAAAGTTCTTTCCCACCTCAGAATCTGCAAAAGATGTAGCTGCCTTCAGGCAAACCTGGATTTCTGCACTATTTTGTTCTTGTAGCCTCCAAAAAGAGCTGAGGACGGGTATCTAATACGTGGATTATGTCATGTCTAAAAGAAAATTCTAGAACAAATAGAAGAAAAGCATTATTTAGAGAAGAAAGTAAGTTTTTCCTGAGCTGAAAAAAAGTGTTGATCTTCAGGTAAAAAAAGTTCTGTTGTGGTTAAAGCAAAATTAACAAAAACTATCCAATAGCTGGATGACTTTTGAATTTCAAAGATAAAGAGTACACAGATTTTTAGGAAGGGAAAGATTGCTCATGAAAGCACAAAAATCAGGGTTCTGAGTGTGTGTCACAGAATAATAGGATATACTAGAGAGCCTATATAACATGTTGAGGGTAAAAGGATGTGTGGGCTTAATTCTACATCAACCATGTGTGGAAGCCAGAGATATAAATCTCATTTATATATAGGCTCTGAAGATTCTACCAATTCTGAAAAAGATTAACTTCATAGAACTACTATAGATGACCAGCAGATTAATCAAAATAAAAACTTTCAAAGTAGTGGAAGTGCATAATAGAAGGCCTGATGGTGACTGTGGAAAACAATTAATTATAGGAAGTAAATGTGAATAATATATGAATAAAGTACTACAAATGTTAAAAATAATTCAAATTTTAACCTGTGGTCCTGCGTGGGTGGCTCGGTTGCTTGGAGCATCGTCCTGTACACCAAAAAAGCTGGGGGTTCAATCCCTGGTCAGGGCGCATGTGGGAGGCAGCTGATGTTTCTCTCTCACATCAATGCTTCTCTCACATCAATGTTTCTCTGTCTCTCTCAAATCTATAAAAATATATCCTTGGGTAAGGATTAAAAAAAATTTCAACCTATTGTATAAAAACTTCCTTTTTATAAAAATAATTTGGTTCAGTCCTGGCTGGTGAGAGCAGTGGATTGAGCACCAGCCCGTGAACCAAAAGGTCACCAGTTCAGTTCTCAGTGCACATACCTGGGTTGCAGGCCAGGTCACCAGTTGAGGGCATGTGAGAAGCAACCGATAGATGTATCTCTCAAACATTGACATTTCTCTCCCTTTCTTTCTCCCTCCCTTCCCCCTCTCTAAATGTAAATAAATAAAATCTTAAAAAAATAATTTGGTTCAATAATTCCAGATTATGTTATATACAGTAAGTGGCTATGGGAGAAATAAGACAAAACATGAGAGAATCAAAGGCTGCAGTTTTGTAATACCTATTTAAATGTTTTTAAATGCAAAAGTAGCAAATAGAATTAAAAATAGAATGGTCTCTCTTCAAATTAGTCAAAAAGACAAAACAACTCCTAATGCAAAAAGACAGAAAACAGTGGAAATGGCAATGAAACAAAAGTCAAAAGCTTGAATAAATGACTCAGGAATAAATATCAATCATGACAATAAAAAATGGGTTAAGTTTATTAAAAGATAAAGACTCTCAGAGTAAATGTTTTCAACCAAATTATATAAAGAAACTAGAAAAAAGAAAAACCAATCACAAAGTTAGTAGGTGGAAGGCAGTAATGAAGATTAGAGCAGAAATGAATAAAATAGAGACAGCAAAAATATAGAAAAGATTAACAACTAAGAGTTGGTTCCTTGAAAAGATAAACACTGACAAACGTTTAATTAGACTAACCAAGAAACAAAAAGACATGATCCAAATCAATAAAATTACAAATGAAAGAGGAGACATTACAATGGATACCACAGAAACAGGATCATAAAAAAATACTGTGAACAACTATATATGCCAACAAACTGAATAACCTAGAAGAAAAGGATAAATCCCTAGAAATATAAACATCAAAACTGAATCAGAAATAGAAATCTGAACAGTCCTGTAACAAGTAAGGAGATTCAATCAGTAATGAAAAACCTCCCAACAAAGAAAAGCTCAGGACCAGACCGCTTCACCAGTTAATTTAACAAACATTTAAAGAATTAATGCCACTACTCAAGCTCTTCCAAAAAATCAAAGAGGAGGGAACACTCACATTACAAGGCCGGCATTACCATGATACCAAGACCAGAAAAGGACACTACAAGAGAGGAAAACTACAGGCCAATATCCCTGATGAAGTTAGATGTAAAAAAAATCTAAACAAAATACTAGCA